ATTACAGTTTAGTTTCCAGGTCATATTTGAGTTCCTTCATTCGTTGCATTTCATTAGTACAGTGTTATTTTTTTGAGCAACAGCGATGAGCTCGCGACTTTTTTCTTGCAGCACATCTTCCAGCTCCTCTACAGTCATTTTCAAAGTGCTTGCTGCCGTCTGTTCAATTTGCAGCCGATCTGTTGCATTCGTCAGTTCGGTTTCTAACTGAAAAGAAATAATAAATTTCCATCAACTTTTTTTTTGCTAGAAACACTTTTCTTCTCGGAAGACCCCTCGTTTATAACAAATCGCTAATCAGTAACCTAAAATCAAACGTCGTCATACTCGCTCTTTCTAAGAGATAGAGATCTTGGAGACAGCCCGAGTGGTCGCCAATTGCCAGCAATAAACCTATTCGCTTACAAGATTTTCGATACCTCGCACTTCCAAGAACTGCCATGCCAATAGTCAGAGTCATCTAAGGCTAAATACAGCCACGAAAACGGCAGCAAACAAGTATCGTGAGGGGAGCTGCAAAGATCTTGGCAAAGCTCAAGAAGGCGTGAAATCGCTGTGATGAAAGCGGATAGCGTTGACAAAACTTATCGATATTCAAACGATTATTTTAGCAGTCCCACTGTTTTGTATCGCTGGTCGTATTTTGGTGACTGTACTAATTGCTTAAGAATACCTTCATTATTTTCACTTCGGTCACTTTCAGCTGACTGCACAAATCCAACATTTCCGACTCCTTCTCCAGCAACTAAACAACACATTTCAAACAAAACCCAGGCTGGAACGCACCAGGCTCCCCGGTGCGATCATGCGTTTTTGCACTAAACTCCTAGATCGCTATTAGCAGGAATGATCCCTACGCTGTAGCCTAACACGTGGGTTAATACTGGCCGTGGTTTGTTCCTTTCTGGCATGCAGGAGAAAAGGCATCAGTTGGGATAAAGGTGGCCGCACGGACATCCAGGTGCATGATTACCAGTTTTTATGCGTTTTTGCCTATATGCAAATTGCAA